TTTGTAAGCCTCATGGTAACAACATGGTAACAACAAAGCAGGTTTTGTGTAACCTATAGTAGTTACACAAAAGATAAAAAGAAATCAAAGCATAACACTGGAGAAAATTTCTTAATCATAAAGAAAGACAGCAAGAGAGGAAGAAAGTAATAAAGGACCTACAAAACAACTAGAAAACAATGAACAAAATGGCAATACTAAGTACTTACATCTATCAATAATTACCCTAAATGTAAATGAATTAAATTCCCAAATCAAAAGGCATAAAGTGGCTGAATGGGTTAAAAAAAAAAAGACTCAAGTATTTGTGGCCTACAGGAGACTCACTTCACCTGTAAGAACACACAGACTAAAAGTGAAGGGATGAAAAAAGATATTCCATATAAATGGAAACCAAAAGAAAGCAGGTAGCTATACTTATATCAGATAAAATAAAAATCAAATTAAAAACTGTAAAACAAGATCTAAAAGGTCATTATATAATAATATAGGGCTCAATTCATCAAGATGATATAACAATTGTAAATGTATATGTTCTCAACAACCAATCATCTAAATAGATCCAAGTACCTAAATAGACCAAGCAAATATTAATAGCTCTGAAGAAAGAGACAGACTGCAACCCAATAATAGTAGGAGATGCCACACACTACTTTCAGCAATGGACAAGTCATCCAGACAGAAAATCAGTTAAAGAACCATTAGATTTAAACTACACATTAGACCAAATGGACCCAACAGACATGTACAAAACATTCCATCAACAGCAGAATACACATTTTCCTCAAGTGTACATAAAACATTCTCCAGGATAGATCCTCTGTAAGGTCACAAAACAAGTCTTAACAAATTCAGAAGATTGAAATCAGATCAAATATCTTTTTGGACCACAGTTGTATGAAACTAGGAATCAACAACAGCAGGAATTTTGGAAAATTCATAAACACATGAAAATTAAACAACATGCTCTTGAACAACCAATTGGTCGATGAAGAGATTAAAGGGGAAATTTTAAAAATCTTGGGACAGATGAAAATGGAAATACAACACACTGAAGCTTATAGGATGCAGCAAAACTACTTCTAAGAAGAAAATTTATAGCAATAAAGAATTTATATACATCAAAAAAGAAGAAAGATCTCAAATAAACAACAAAATGTTACACTTCAAGGAACTAGAAAAAGAAGAAGAAACTAAGCCCAAAGTCAGCAGAATGAAGAAAATAATAAAAATCAGAGGATAAACAAGATAGTGACCAGAAAAAAAAAAAAAAAAAAAAAAAAAACAAAAAAAATTAAAAAAAAAAAAAGTTGTTTTTTTGGAAAGATTTAAAAAATTGACAACCTCTAGCTAGACTAACTAAAGGAACAAAAGAGAAGACTCAAATAAATAATATCAGAAATGAAATAGAAGACATTATATCTGATACCACAGAAATACAAAGGATCATAGGAGACTACTGTGAACAATCATATGCCAACAAATTGGATAACCTGGAAGAAATGGATAAATTCCTAGACACGTACAATCTACAAAGACTAAATCATGAGGAAGTAAAAATCTGAACAGACTAATAATAATTAAGGAAATTGAATTCATAATCAAAAACCTCCCATCAAAGAAAAGCCCAGAATCAGGTGACATCGCTGGTGAATTCTACCAAATATTTAAAGAACTTATACCAATCCTTCTCAAACTCTTCCAAAATTGAACAGCAAGGAACAGCTCTAAACTTGTTTCATGAGGCCAGCATTACCCTAATACCAAAGCCATAAATGGACAATATAAGAAAAAAAATTATAGGCCAATATCCCTGATGAATAACCAGGATGTAAAATGTAAAAATCCTCACAAAATACTAGCAAAGCAAATTCAGCAGCATATTAAAAAGATATTCACCATGACCAAGTGGAATTTATTCTGGTGATGCAAGAATATACACAAATCTTTAAACACCATGCACCACATTAGCAGAATGAAGGACAAAACCATATCATTTCAACAGAGGCAGAAAAAACATTTGACAAAACTCAACATCCTTTATGATAAAAACTCTCAACAAATTAGACATAGGAGTGCACCTGAACACAATAAAGCCCATACATAACAAATCCACAGTGAACATCATATTCAATGGTGAAAAGTTGAAAGCTTTCCCTAAAAGATCAAGAACAAGAGAAGGATGTCCACTCTCACCACTTTATTTACCATAGTACCGGAAGTTCTAGCCGGAGTAATTAGTTAAGGAAAAGAAATAAAAGGCATACAAATTGGAAAGAAAAAAGTTAAATTGTCTCTGTTTGCAGATGACATGCTCTTATATATAGGAAAGCCACAAAAACGCCACACACACAAAAAACCTGTTAGAACTAATAAACAAATTCAGTAAAGTTGCAGGATACAAAACCAACATAGAAAAATCAGTTGCATTTCTATATACTAACAATAAACCATCAGAAAAAAAATTAAGCAAACAATCCCATTTATATTGGCTAAAAAAATAAAATAAAATACTTAACAGTACATTTAACCAAGGAGGTGAAATGTTTGTACACTGAATACTATAAGACATTGATGAAAGAAATTAAAGAAAACACAAATAAATGGAAAAGTATGCCATGTTCATGGATTGGAAGGATTAACATTGTTACAATGCTCATACTACCCAAAGCACTCTACAGATTCAATGCAATTCCTATAGAAATTCCAATGATATTTTTCACAGAAATAGAAAATACAATTCTAAAATTCATACGGCAACAGAAAAGACCTGGAATAGCTGAAGCAATCATGAGCAAAAAGCACAAAGGTGAAGGCATCACACTACCTGACTTCAACATATGCTACGAAACATGGTACTGGCCTAAAATTGGACACACAGACAAATGGAACAAAATAGAGAGCTTAGAAATAAATTCATGTATATATGCTCAATTGATTTTCAACAAAATTGCCAAGAACATGCAATGGGGAAAGTACAGTCTCTTCAATAAATGGTGTTGGTACAACTGAATATTTACATGCAGAAAAATTAAATTAGACCCTTATCTCCCACCATATGAAAAAATCAACTCAAAATGGATTTAAGACTTACATATAAAACTACTAAAAGGAAACAGAAGAAAAGCTCCATGACATTGGTTTGAGCAATAATTTTTTGGATATGACACTAAAAAATACAATCAACAAAAGCAAAAATAAACAAGTGGGACTACATCAAACTAAACAACTTCTGTACAGCCAAGGAAACAATCAACAAAGTAAAAAGACAACCTATGGAATGGGAGAAAATGTTTGCAAACCATACATCTGATAAGGGGTTAATATCC